ATAATTTCATACACTTACTTATGCTCGTCTAATAGCCATTCGTATTTTTGTAACCATTTCATTCGTAAGCGTTTTATCTTATGAACTTCCTCGGTCAAATTTTTATAGATCGCTACAAAGTCGCGAGGCTTGTTACATCGTGGATCCATTTTTCATTCTTAAATCTTAAATAAACATCTAAATTTTTGAGAAATCCTCCAATTATAAACAAAATTGTAAAGAATGTTCAAATGTATGAAAAACAGAAGAGAACAATTATATTAAGTTCGCAATTATTTCCGCATTCCGTATTTTTCTCGCTTTAAATATCCATTTACGTTTCTTACTTCACAGTTATAACATGCCCGAGACTAAGAGTGCCAGAAAACGGATACTTGGTAAAAGCAAGCGCATGTAGCAATGTTGTTCACGCAGCCTGTGGTGTAAGGTGCAGAATTGGTTTCTACCTCACAGGTGACAGTATTCGACTTTGCGGAAAAGACGGTAATTGGTCCGGAAACGAACCGAAATGTTTGCGTAAGTCCCACTAAGTATTGAACGCATTTGGTTCGACTGCAACACGTGCACAAACGCAAACGCGCGAAATTAATATACTGCGTACATATGAAATTTCAAATTCTCAAAACTCCCCGTCGTTATATCGGCTTGTAATTGTTGAAACAGTGAAAACTTGTCCGGCACTTCGAACTCCTACGCATGGGCGAATGCGCTGTCAAAACGAGGAGGATCAACATTTGAATACAGAGAATACGACAACGTATCCGATCGATTCCCGTTGTCAATTCAGATGCGAAACCGGTTATCAATTACGCGGAAGTAAAATACGCAACTGTTTGCCTTTGTCACAATGGGATGGTCTCAAAGCTACATGTAAAGGTGAATTTTGAAATCTTTCTCAACATCAATTGTATATGTATGTACTCTGGTTTCGCAAGATTAATTAAACACACGTATATGTACTGTTCATAGCAATAAAATGTGAACCTCTGAAGCAAGTTGCGAATGGAGAAATTTCGCCTGAAAATTGTTCGGGCCCGGAGAAACTACCATTTGGAACGAATTGTACCATATCGTGCAAAAGGGGTTTCACACTTGAGGGACCACGTTCCAGATATTGTAGTGGCCGTTCTGGAGTCTGGTCGCAACGTAAAACTGTTAATCGATGCGTAGGTAATGTAATGTATTTATAATACAATTTAGGAATCTCAGTTCCTATGATTTTTCGAGTTATTGTATTAATTTGTTGTTTCCTCTAAGATAAAACACCACCTTCGATAACCTGCCCATCTAATATTATCACCGAGAGCCTTCCAGGGAAGAAGTATGCTTTTGTAAATTGGACAATACCAAACGTAACTGACAATGTGGATGAATCACCTGTATTATGGAGTAAGCCATACATTAGTTTTCCTTGGAAAGTAAAAATTGGTACACGTACAATAATCTATGTGGCACAAGACTCATCTGGAAATAGAGCCAGATGCAAATTTAAAGTTAAAGTTTTAGGTAAGATCATTTCAATTATATTAATTAGTAAGACTATAATATAAACGTATTCCGAGTATAAGGTGATTGTTTGTAATACAATGATACTGCAGATAAAGAACCACCAATGATCGAGAATTGCGTAGATCCTCCGATATTTTTCACCGATAATAGAGTTGGAATAAATAACGTGACTTGGAACGAGCCTGGTTTTCACGACAATTCCAAGACACCTGTACAAGTCGAACAAAATTATCTTCCAGGGGAGAACATGTTTCCTATTGGATTAACGCAAGTGGTATATAATGCCATCGATAAGTACGATAATAAAGCGTTTTGCGTGTTAAATGTTACTATAAAAGGTAGTGTATCAACAGAATTAACACTAAACGTACCAAGCGGGGTCAAATGATCCGTTTTCAAAATTTACTTTAAAATCGTACATTCGTTGTTATTTCTTTCGCTAATCTGACTTCTTGTAAATTCTTATATTACCTGATTGTTCGATTTCTCGTTTTCTGTTTTTCTCTTAGCTTCATTTTTTTTACCAAGAAAAATTCTCTGCATACCTTATGTACCGCGAGGGATCACCGAGAAAAATTCTTTGCATACCTTATGTCACAGCGAGGGGTCATTTGACCCTTTATGGTAAGATAGGTATATGTAAAATGCCGGTACGTTTAGTGTTAATATGTACTTTATAAAATGATGTACTACATAATTTAATTAATTATAAATTTAATTTCTGTCACATAGACGCTTGTGAAGAAATTCCAAAAATATTGAACGGTTACTCAAAGTGTCATCCATCATCAATGAACGACACAAACGAGTGCACTATAACTTGTGAAGAAGGATATGGATTTGCAACTGAGGAATCGAATGCTGGAATCGTGGAAAATATATTATTATTAAAATGTAACGAAAATACATCGAATTGGCTTCAAGAAAACTACATTCCCGATTGTACAGGTATGTGATCTGACAGATACAATTTATAATAAATCATAACTATGTAAATATATAATAAATCATAGAGAGAAATTACAGTTAAATTAATGAAACAAAATCTGATACAAGAGATAATGTAAATAGTTTTTCATCTTTACTATTGTTTAGAAACTACAATTCCAAAAAGTGTATCCCAGGAGGGCAGTATTGTGTTAGAAGGAAATGCAACAAATGTATGCGATAATCAAACAACACTCCGCGAAGTAAGTATTGACTTTTCATTTCTCAACTTACGTAACTTCGTGAGAAACAAACAGTTTTTACTATTTAGCTGAGCAAATATATTACTGCCGATTTAATATCGACGTTGCTCGATATTTGTGGAAACGATATCGAATGTAATGTCATTACTTTCGATCCTGAATGCGAAGAAATTCTTCCATCTTCGAATACAATGTATTCTAGTATGATAAAAAAACGAAGGGAACTTAACTATGATATTTCTGAATTATTAAGAAGTGATACAATGACAATGAAGGGTATTGGTACAAAATCAAAACGAGATATGAAAATGAACGATAACAGAAATAAAATGAAAATAAAGAAGAAGAAAGAAAAAATTGAACTGAAATTCAATTTTTTAGGTAATTTTCCTTCGATAAAATTTTAATGAAAATTTGAAGAATCTTGAATATATATAATACTGTTTAATATAGGGAAGATAATTGAGGAGCATCACGAAAATCCGCGAAAAGGAATCCAGAAATTGCGACAGAAGCTCGAATCTTTGTCTCGATCTGGGAAATTAAATTTATTAAACAATAGAACAAATCAAGAAATAGCGAAGCTTGCGCTAAATTTGCATCTCATTTTTAAGAATTTTGAAGAACTTTGCGATCCAGGAAGTATCTTGAAGAAGAACACTTGCGGTAAATATAACTGAACAAAGTTTTTTTCATACATTAGAAATTGTTAATATTTCATTTATTTGTATTTAAATTTTAGTAAAATGTCCATTGGGAACTTTCTTTAATTCCACGACTAAACAATGCCAATCGTGTTCTCTTGGAGAATATCAAAGCGTGACTGGATCTTTGAAATGCAAACGTTGTCCTGAATACACTTCGACGAAGAAAATTCATTCAAAATCTCCGCAAGATTGTATACGCAAGTATCTTATGATCTGCCTTTTTATTTTTCATTTCGATATTAATTTATCTTTATTATATGTTTCTTCTATTTTTATAAAAATTATTATTCTCTGATTTACTTTTATTTAGACTTGTGCAGACCAGGACACTATTCGCGAAAAAAGCGTTACCAAAACACGCGATTAGCACTTGAACCTTGCCTAATCTGTGACACTGGATTTTATCAACCAGAATATGGTCAAACTCATTGCCTTTCGTGTCCACCTGACACTACTACTAGAAATCATGGATCTAAAACCATAAATGACTGTCTACCTCTTTATAAAATCGAGATTAATATCTGTGATAAAAAATCTTGTTTAAGTGGTGGACAATGTGTACAAGAAGAGGACAGTTTCAGTTGCGAATGTCCTGACTATTATGTCGGTAATTATTTAATTTACTTTTACTTCATTCATCAAATAATAATTTGAAATAAATAATACAACTATAAGTAAAATTTACTTGTTAGGTTCTAAATGTGAAACATTCCAAAATCCATGTGATTCTTCTCCATGTTTGAACGAAGGTACATGTAATATTCTAAGTTTCACGAACAATACAATAATGTACTCTTGCACATGCAAAAATGGATATTTAGGTAGAAATTGTGAGGTAAAACAATTATTACTTGTAAAAATGAACACAGTACACGTAGAAATAAATTAATAGAAAGTAAAATTTGTAGTTGTACATTGACGAATGTACCATTGATCCTTGTCAAAATAATGGTACATGTATGAGTACAGAAAATGATTATTTCTGTGAATGTAAACAAGGTTTCGAAGGTATATTTATGAATTATATCAATAAATATTATTAAATAATTATGTCTGAGAAATATATTATTGCAGGAGAGTTTTGTGAGACTACTGTAGATCATTGCAATCCTTCACCCTGTATGGAAGGATCTACTTGCCACAATGTTAACAACTCTTGGAAATGTTTCTGCAAACCCGGTTTTCTCGGTCGTTATTGTAATTTATTACCCTGTGATTGGTTACCATGCAACAAAAACTCGTATTGTGTGAACATTGAAGAAGAAAATGCAACAACTATGAGTTACAGGTGAATATATTTATTACAGGCATTTATTACTATATTATTAATAAAAAATTAAAAATTTTTTGATTATCAGATGTGTGTGTACAGATGGTTATACCGGAGAAAATTGTACTGTAAAGATAAATCATTGCGAAAGCAATCCGTGTTTGAACAATGGGAAATGCACTAATAATATCTCTAATTACACATGTACGTGTCCCACGTTATTCACAGGGCGTCATTGCGAGACTGGAAAGTATAGTCTTAATATTTATATTGTATTAATTTCCACAAACAACAATAATTTTACAATTAAAAAATTTCTTGAATAATTTATCGTGTCTTTATAGAATTGTTATCCGATTACACGATACACTTTTCCAAATCGGGTATCACCGACTATATTAGTATGAAAGGCTCTACGATAAATCTTTCTAAGGTAATAGATAATATTAAACATAATTTGTTTTTATTCTATCAGAGTGTTAATTTTTTTAGTTAACTACGTGTTTATGGCTACAGTCGAAGGATATGTTTAATTATGGCACTGTATTATCGTATGCTACACGTTACTACGATAACGCATTCACTTTAACAGATTATAATGGGTAATAAAATACTCTTCCTAATACATATCTACAAAATCTTGATTCATATCAAATATTACTATCCTGATTTCATAGACTGGTAATATATCTCAATGGTGAAAAAGTAATAACCGATATTAAAGTAAATGATGGTCATTGGCACTTCGTTTGTTTCACCTGGGAAGCAGAAAATGGCTCTTGGAATATTTTTATTGATGGCCTTTTGAGAGACAACGGTACCCACTTGGCGAAAGGAACTTTCATTCAAGGTATATTAAAGATAATATTAAATATCAACATATTATTACGATATTAATACATACATTGACACACAATATTAAGAAAATTTTCGATTAGGAAATGGAATTCTAATAATTGGACAAGAACAAGATCGTGTCGGAGGAGGATTTTCAGAGTTAGAATCTTTCTTGGGAAAATTAACATTATTAGATATTTGGAGTACAATTTTAGTAGCTGAGGATATCAAACACTTGTTCAACACTTGTGAAAAATACCATGGTGATGTAATTGCATGGGCACACGTGCAAGAATATGTGCACGGTGACGTGATAGTAATTATCTCTTGATATAGATGCCTTTTACATTTATTAGAATTTTATGATGAATTTCATCTCGTTCCCAATATTTTCTAGGTATCAAACACTTCATTTTGCCGTGGTTGTCCGTTACCCGTTGTATCATTTAAAGGTAATGTAAATGTCAGCGAAGATGGGTCAAATATCACTTATTATTGTGACAGTGGTTACGTAGTGCGATTTCATGGCAGAGAATATCAATCTTTAACACTGAAATGTCTTAAACAAGGACAATGGGAAGGATATTACACACCCGTTTGCACTAGTAAGTTAAGATACTTTATCATATTCTACTTGTGATTAATTAGTTGAATTGATTAATCTCATTTAAGGAAGAAGATGCGGATTTCCAGGATATTTTCCGCGAGGTCGTATACATGGTAGATCGTATTTTTTCGGAGATGAGATATATTATTTTTGTTTAATTAATTATGAACTTCGAGGAAATCCTCGTAGAACCTGTAATGCTGATGGAAAATGGAGCGGATTACCTCCAGTTTGTATAGGTAAAGATTGTACACTTCTACTTATTATTAATATCTATCTAATTATTTATTTCTAATTTTCTTATATTTCAATAATTACTTGTAACAGGAAAAACATGCAAGAATTTATTAGCTCCAGAGCACGGGGATATCGAGTACGTGATAGAAGAATACGAAAGAGATGATCTTTCCATTCTACAGGTACGACTCATTTGCAAATAGTGAAAAAAAGGAAGTAATTTTTATTAAATAAAAATATATTCATAGGTAGGACAGCAAATTGAATTCAAGTGCGACCCCGGATTTCATTTAAAAGGTGAAAAACTTTTAACATGTTTGGAATCTGGACAATGGGATCATGAAATGCCTTCATGTTTGGCTTATAAATGTCTACCACCAAGGGAGTAAGAAATATAATCATTTGCAAAAAATTTCATTCTAAATAAATGATTTTTTATAATATTTATAACATTTTAATATTTAGAATCAAGCACGGATATGTAATTTCTTCAAATTCAAATAATTTGCACGAAAATTTCGCTACAAAAGTTGATTTGCAAACGATTAATGACACATTTAAAAAGGACTATAATTTTAATGATATTGTGGGATATTCTTGCTATTCGGGATATAAATTTGAGGGCAATCATAGTTTGTTAAATGAATTTAAACTTCAATGTATGGAAAATGGTACTTGGATTGGATTTGTTCCTGATTGTGTACCATTAAAGTGTTCGTGGCCTGACATTGTGAATAATGGGAAATTATTGTTTAAAACACAAGACAATGGTACTATTGAACTTCTAGAAATAAAAAAAAAGAATTGGAATTTGGAAGACGAATTTGTCATTGGTACCGAAATTGTGATAAAATGTGATATAGGATATAAATTAGTTGGTAACGGTTTTAGAATTTGCACAGACGATGAAGAATGGTCACCCACGTTATCGTCTTGCGAACCTTATGAATGTCCTTTCTTAAGTCATCCACTTTTTCAAATTTTTAATGACAAAATAAATCTAAATAATCATACTGCAATTTGGAAAAATGATCAGAATAAAAAATTGAATGGCAAAGAACCATATTATGGTACTTATAAGAATTTAGAGTACTTTATAGAAGGACATACTTATATGAAAAAGATAGTTCTTAGTTGCAATGATGGAGAAATTCAATTGAATAATGCAAATATTCAAAACTCTGTTCCTAACTTAACTTGGTTTTGTGATGAATATGGTAAATGGAAAATAATTGATACACAATTAAACGACACCATCACAAAACTCTTGTTTGGAATTGAGAGTATTTGTCAGAAATCTATGTGTGATTTAGTAACGGTAAATAATATTATTTAATTATTTTCAGAAACAAGTACAGCTTTAAATTATGAAACTAATATTAAGTTACTATTAGATTCCAGAATATAGTTACATTACTGAAACAAATTATAAAAGAACTGTTAATAACACTATTACATTCAAATGTCATCAAGGCTATATTCTTGAAGGCAATGAAAAATCTATCTGCCTTCCAAATAACACTTGGACTGCTATTCCTTCTTGTAAACGTAAGTTTTGCCATAAAGTAAATATTTTTCAAGATTTTTATTCAAAAATTTAAGTAATAAATAAACATTTATTTTAGCTGTAACATGTAAAGAACCACCTAAAATTGTAAATGCAGTGTTAAAAGAAAATAATATCAAAGCAGTAAACTATACATTTAATTATACAATTACTTATGAATGCATACCTGGATATATAATGTTTGGTCAAAGAAATGCAAGATGTCTTGCAAATGGAAAATGGTCCAGAATTTATAGTAGATGTTCAAGTAAGTTCAGTATTATATATAACACATAATATAGTGTATCATTCTTTTTATAGAACTTTCATGTAATAAACCAAAACTTGATATTTATAGAACTTTCATGTAATAAACCAAAACTTGATATTTATAGAACTTTCATGTAATAAACCAAAACTTCCATTTGGCGCAACAATTCATGGTCGGTCTTATTTGTATCAAGATCAATTGACATACGTGTGTCCTGGTGGTAAAAAGCAAGGATTGATTACATGTAAGGCTGATGGACATTGGAGCGATTTACCGAATTGTAATAACAATTAACATAACAATTAATATAACTATGATTTTACGTAGAAATTTAAAATAAAATAATATAGCAAATTTATTTGACAATTTTTTTATTAAAAGACCACAATTATTAAATCTGTATGATTTTACAATACCTTTTTGTTTTACATCTCGTACATACATTTTCACTGTACACCAAATATATGTTTAAGTATAATTGGAAATTAAACTAAATTTAACAATTTAACAAATTTCTGATTTTATTATTTAAACTAATTGATAAAAAATTTTTCATGGTTTCAAATGTTTTCATGGTCTGAGAAAGTAAATGTATTGTATACAATTTTTTAAAAATATTGAGAAAAATATGTTGAAAAAATTAGGAGTAAGTTATGATTTTCAATGTAGTATAAAAAAGAAATTAACATTACACATTATTGTAATAATTAATCACAAATACATATTTGTTTATATAGTACACAGTTCCTTGATATAAATAGGATTTACATGTATAAACATACTGTATATGAATAGTCGAGGAAGAGCAATGAAAAATAAAAACATGAAAATAATTTGTTGTATGAAAAATTTGAGTTATTTATATTTTTCTAACTTTGTTATGATAAAAACGGAGCACCTTTTATGATATTTAATTTGTATTAGCATGGCTATTCTAAAAGGAATTATCCCTTTTTAACAAATTTTCATTGCTCAACATTTTTAATTTCTTAATTTCTTAGATCCATGTCCAAGATATTACTGAATTAAATATAATTTAATATTGTTAAAATTTAAATGCATATGTATACTGGCTCTCCGAAATTTCACAAAGTAATTGTACAAAATGATATCTTACACATTCATATTCAGAATGAAGAAACATATAAATATTATTAATCATTTTGTAAAAAAGAATACCCCAAAGCTTAGCCACACTAACATAATAATTTATCTACAACGTTGAACACTTTTCAGAGTTCTGATTTTGCACTATGAGAATATTTTGGTTTCAGTTCTTCAATTCGTTTAATAAAATCTGTTTTCTCTATGCAACCATCACATGTCTCATCCCAGTCACTCAAGATCTTCCTCAAATCACGTACTTTAAGCTTTTTCAAATCAACAGTATTAATATCAATTTGTTTCTCTAAAATTAAATTAAAAAATTGTAAGTAGAAGATTAGGAAAGCGATTTCAAACAATTTCATTACAGTTAATAATAAACATACCATATCTCAAGTCACATATTTGAGCATCTTTCTTTTTCAATTTTTCACATATTTTATTTGCAGGCATAGACCAAGATATAGGTTTACTTAATTCACTTAAAATACCTGTGGCAGATTCTTTCAAACCACCTAAATAATAACACTAAAACAAACAGAAAACTTAGTTAACATAATTATAAATCACATATTAAATATCACTATCTACAAGTGTTCATTGTTGTAAATACTTACAAATCTGTTCTCTTTAGATTTAGTACCTTTACAAAAGTCTTTAAATGCTGTTTCTATCTTTTTTGTGTCTTTTTTAACATCTTCACTTAAAGTATTCACAAATTTTTCCACAGTATTTATACATACTAAAACATAATCAATTTAAAAAGATGATAAGTGATTAAACTAAAGGATAGATCAAATATTAATTTACCTTCACATTCGTCATTTTTCAAAGCAATAACAGTATACAATCCAATAACAATAGAGAGTGTTAATAATACTGAACTATTCATTCTGAATGTATTTTCTGTAAAAAATTATAATCTTTGAGAACTTCAAGTACACGATCTTTTAAACTACAAATCACAACAAAAACTTATGTTTCTTATCTAAATAGGAATGAAAATTTAAAAGAGAAAACAAAATTAAATAAAAATGTAAATATATTTATGTTTACGAGGTTAACATAAACATTAATGGAGCACAACTTACATATTATTGAGCTGATAAAGTAATTCGTGTATTACGTAGAAAATATTCTTACTAATTCGTAACACAAACAATCTACAACTTTTAATTCATTCGTTCACTATTGCAACAAAATTTTTAATAGAACTACATAAGTTCAATCCACGCTACACTTTATACACGTTGGATTCTGTCAAAAGCCCGGAATCCCAGCTGGCGCATTCTGATTGGTTCTAATATGCTTTGACTCATATTTGACATAGCGCCTCGCGATTGGTTCACACGACCCTCAAAAAATAAAGAAAAAAAGAATATCGCACATACTTAAATGAACACATGTGTTTATAACAACATGGCGCCACGCAAAGAATTTCGATCTAACCTTAATGTAATAAAAGCACCGAAGAAAAATACTAAGAAATGGTATGAAAATTACGTAGAATGGAGAAAATTAAGTTCCCTATTGACAGATCCAAGAAAACTGTTTCTTATTGGAAGATTGTTTATTATATTGGAAATCGTTCTAAATGTACTGGTTATCGAAAGGGTACCATATACAGAAATCGACTGGAAGGCGTATATGCAAGAAGTTGAAGGTTTTTTGAATGGAACGTTGGATTATTCGAAATTAAAAGGTGACACAGGACCATTAGTCTATCCTGCAGGATTTGTTTATATATTTTCGATATTGTACTTCATCACGGAACATGGGACAAAGATAAAAATAGCACAATACTTTTTCGCAGTTCTTTATATTGTACTGCTTATATTAGTTTTCCGAATTTATGCGAAAACTAAGAAAGTACCTCCATATGTCTTGATAATTATGTGTTGCACATCTTATAGAGTTCATTCTATATTTACTTTGAGACTTTTTAATGATCCAGTTGCGATGGTACTGTTATTTGCTAGTCTGAATGCATTTTTAGATGACCATTGGTATTTAGGAAGTATTTTCTATAGTATGGCTGTGTCTGTAAAAATGAACATTTTATTATTTGCACCAGCACTTCTCATTACTTACATATATAATTTAGGAATGTTCAAGACAGCAATACATTTATTTATATGTGCTTTAATTCAATTAATATTAGGTCTTCCTTTTTTGTTAAACAATCCATTTGCATATATAAAAAATGCTTTTAATCTTGGAAGAGTTTTCGAGTTTAAGTGGACTGTAAATTGGAAGTTTCTGCCAGAATATATTTTTATTCATCCATATTTTCACATATCACTATTAGTATTGCATATATTGACTTTAACTTGTTGTATACCAACATGGATAAAATATATGAAATCATATGCAAAATTAAAGTTTCTAGAAAAAAACTTACAGCCTCAATTAAAAAAAAAAGAAAAGGTAGATATGTCTACAGTCAGTCAATTATTTATTTTTCCAATGTTTGCTGCAAATTTTATTGGTATGATATACAGTAGATCGTTACATTATCAATTTTATATATGGTATTATCATACACTTCCTTATATTGCATGGTGTACAGATTATAAGACTGTAATAAAGTTAACAATTTTGGGCATAATAGAATTATGTTGGAATACTTATCCAAGTACCATTTTTAGCAGCATTTCATTACATATGTGCCATTTGATGTTGTTACTAGGTTTTATAAAAGATAAATCTAATATTGAAAAAGAGAAATAAACATTTTTATATAATATATGTGTCTATCTTTCCCTTTTTACCTTTCTATATATTAATTTAATTTTAGAATCAATTATATCTTTGAAGATATCCACATCTTCAACATTTAAGAAATTATTTTTGTCTTTGTTAATAATAACATTAAAACTTTAATATTACATTTTAGATAAAATTAAATTCTTGTATAAAACATAAAAAAAATATTGTAATTGTGAAATATTGTAAATACAGAACTACATGTATTTCTTTATATTTATACATTATTTAAATTAATGAGATATATTGCAATTTCTACAATCAAAAAACTTATCTCTAGTATTTTTATTATTTATTATTTATTTTTTGTTCAAATATTCGAATGAAAAAAAACATTCTAACTTTATCCAATAGAAACTTTTCATTTTAGCTGAACTACAGTGACATGTGATTTCTTTGACAGAACAAAGTGTTCATTAACAAATATTGATGTATTTTAATACTTTTGTGCAAGTAATTCATCAAAATAGTAAATTTATCTAGAATTTAAAGAAAGATAAACTACACATTTACTTTCATAAATATGATTATGTAGTAATCGAATATATAAAATAATTGATATTTAACCTATTGCATAAAAGGAATTTCTGAAATAAATTTGAATTAGCTATGAGTTCCAAAGGTATATATTTCAGATATATCTATATTTAATTTAATTTTGTAATTTTATATAGTTATAAAATTTAGAAATAATATATAATGTACAATATTATGTTATAGAAAAATATAAAAATTTCCTGTCTACAAACAGTGTTTTTGATGAAGATTATACTGTATATAAATCTCAATTTATTGGACTTGACGATAAACCTTATAATATAAAATGTGTTTTGTGTGATGAAAAATTTGTCCTTCCTGAAAAGGAGAAAGATTTGTTGTCTCATTTATTTAAAGAACATCGTCTTGTAATAGGAGATGTTTGGAATATTGCTAGTTTAAAAAGGTTTCATTATTAATTTATATGAAATAATTTATTTTTATTAAAAATTGAACTTTTATAATATTAAAAATTTGTATAATTTTCAGTTATATACATTACTGGGGTGTTAAATTTAAAGAAGAACCTTTGACTAAATTTTGTACCACAATGTTAATGGATTGTACCCCTGCTGGAGAACCAAATAAAAATGAAAAATATTATTTACTTTCTGACTGCATTTCAGAAGATAAAACTTTAAGAGATGAAATACATCGAGCAAAACTGGTATTGCTATATAATTTATAAAAGTTTTCCATAAATGTTACTGCAGAACATTAAAAAATATTGTTTTTATTTGTTTTAAGGAATGGGTTTTATCAGAACAAGCAAGAGAAAGGACAGATACTAACTTTAAACGTGGGTGTATGTTTTGTAGAACAGAATTTTTTGGTTTACGTATTACATATATAAAGCATTTAGCACAAAAGCATAATTTATATCTTGGAAAACCAGACAATTTGGTACTCATAGATGAATTTTTAGATAAAATTCAAACTTCTATTGAAAAGTAAGATATACAAACATGTAATTAAATATATGCTATTTTGGTATCAAAAAATTTCTTTTCAGTTTAATATGCATATATTGTGAAAAACTATTTAAAGATCGCACAGCTTTAAAGGAGCATATGCGTAAAAAACTACACAAAAGAATAAATCCACATAATAAAGAATATGATAAATTTTATATAAATAATTATCTGGAACCAGGAAAATCATGGAGACATAAACAGGTATTTTATTACTGAAATATATCAAAATTAGTATATAAGATATATATGATAATTAATATATAAGGTATATATGAATAATGAAAAATAAAAATACATAAATTTTTTCTGTTAGATTACTTGCAACGAAAATGATGTGGTAGGAGATCAAAGCAGTGAAAATGAGGATGAAGATACATGGTCAGATTGGAATGATGAAGGCATAGGAATATCATGCTTGTTCTGTAGTTACAGTGATAAACATTTTCACCTTATTCTTGTACATATGAAAGTAGAACATGATTTTGATTTTAAAATTGCATCAAAAGACTTAACATTTTATCAAAAAGTAAGTTTATTATAATATATATTTTCAGCAGTAAAGTGAAATATAAATTGTTATCAAAATTATGATTTTGAAACAGGTAAAAGTAGTTAATTATGTTAGAAGGCAAATTCATTTAAGACAATGTGTTTTTTGTGGAATAAAAATAGATAATGTTTTAGAACATATGAAGGAACAAAATCATTTTAAAATACCTGTACAAAAAGTATGGGATCAACCAGAGTTAGTACTTTATTCATATGAAATTATAGTTTATTAAATTAATTAAAGCTTTTAGATACTAACAATATAAAATTTCAGATATTATTTTCCTATGCATGAAAATGAATCCTTTTTATATAATTTGGATGTGAGTAGTACTAGTGATGAAGAAAGTGATATTGAAAATATTACAGAGGCAATGTATGAAACATTTAAATAATAAAAAGTTCCCCAAAAATACAAAAAAAATATGTACATCTTGTTATCCATATTAAAGTAAATTTGTTAATTGAGTTATATCATATCTTTTTGTATCAAGTACGATCATAAATTAATTTTATGGAGATTATTTCCAAATAATAAGATAGGCTCTCAGATGACAACAAACTCTTTTCATTAGATGTATTCTTCATTTTTTTTTCTTTTTATTAATTTTGCATAACTTCAGTGGGGATCTATCTTCATGGCGATCTACTATATTCATTGTAATATTAACAAAATCACAAATTATCATAAATTTAATTTTTATCTTAAGTAATTTAAAGTCAAAAAAAATTAAAATTAATCATACAATTATGCAAAATAAAGATAATAGAGGATTATCTAACAAATATTGTTTCAGAAATTCTTCCAGAAATGATTATATTCAAATTAAAGTAATAGGTATTATAAATACTATAGCTTTTCAGAGGGCACGACTATGTGCAGAAAAATTATATCAACATTTGCCATTTAAATTTTCCACGCCACAAATTATAGAAATGTTTCAAGTAGAATGGCATGAATATATTCTTAAAATGAAAAGAGTAATAAACTTTATTTAATATATTTGTTAAAACATATTACAATATTAATATGTCTATATCTATATGTTTTTAGCAAATTGGAGGTAAAATATGGTCCTTAACACGAACTGTTGCTGTTTTTATAAATAATAAATTTCTTGGTAGTGATGTACAATTCTTACATTATGTATGTCAAGATTATATATTTAGTTTACCTATTAGTGTAGAATATTATGAAAATCTTGCTACAGAATATTGTAAAAAATTTATGGAAAAATCTAAAGTAAATTGTCCTCTATTATGTAAACAATTTTATCTTTTGTTATATATGATAATCTAATAACATAAATTATGCACTAACATAATATTATTAAATTTTAGAGAAAATATGTGTATTTCACATTTTCTATAGATGATTCACCTATTGGTTCGTTTGTATTTATGGTAAGAATTTGTATAATTTGATTTAGAATGCATAAAAATTTGAAAAATTTTTGTATTAAATATTATATTAATTTAGCTATATTCTGATTTGTTACCATTAACTTGTCAATATTTCTTAAATCTTTGCACTGGATATGATGAGGTGCAAAAATGTTATAAAAATGTTTATTATATAAACACACGTTTATATCGTGTAGTAAAAAATGGATGGATCCAGTGTGGAGGTATAATTCAACATTATATAAATTAATTTTTGTTTCCTCTGAGTATTTTTTATGTATTAGCTACTGTTAGTTCCAGGCTTTAATGTTTTGTAGGACTTAAATCATCTAAATTGGATAAAAATGCTGATGATAATGTTAAAATATCTGATGAGTCTTATTGTGTTCCTCACGATCGTCGAGGAGTTCTTTCATTAACAAATGATGGGAAACATTGTAATAAATCACAATTTATCATATGTTTAAAACCAAATCCTTGGATGAACCATTTTTATGTTGCTTTTGGGTGAGTTACATACATTAATTTTGAATATTCTGGTATAATTAAAATAGATTAACATTAATTGCGAAATAAATTAATTTGAAATTTGTACAAAGACAACTCATTGATGGTGCTAAAACTTTAAAAATATTAGAAGATATTTCAACATATTATGAACATCCTATTAAAGAAATAGTAATTTCACAATGTGGAGAATATATTTTTGGTGATGAAATTAAGATGGAGACAGAATCAAAAATCTTCCTTGTTAATATGATTGAAATCAGTTATATTTTTAATTATATTTATATTGTATTTTTGTCCATTTTGAACATATTTAATTATTGCTCTTATTTCAGAAACATCAATCACCAGCAAGCATAGAAGGAGATGTAGCATTTACTGACATTGCATTTGATCTTTATTGTGTTACATCATGGTTAGATAATATTGTGGATAGGGTGGATGTTCGCGATACTGTATCGCTTTTGATGGTTGAACGGTATTTAAATGGTCTCTATTGTCTTTCAAGTGACTATGAACCAGGTATTTAGAAATTAAGAGTTCTATAGAATATTTGTATATACTCTGTAAACACAAATACTCAATAGCATATGATTTCTTATAGGAATGGATATGCGTGTGTATGAAAAAATTTATCTAGTTGATATGGAAAAGTATGATACGACGACTGCTAAGCTTCACAATTTATTATTGAATTTTCAACCATATACAATGACTGAACGAGAAAAATTAACATTTATTTCAGAGATCTCTAAAATTATTTTAGCTTACATTTTTCATCATGAACATAATGAAGTAAGTTAAATGTTACAAATAAAAATTCTAGTTTATTAGTCATGATTTAATATTTTTAATTTTATATATATGTAACATATATTTAGTTTTGCTTACAACATGTTTCAATGAATACTCACGCAATAATACACAAAATATTAGAAATTGCGCATGAAATAGCGTTAAAATCTATCAAAAAAGCTACAAGAAAGTCTATAATCTCTCTGAAATGTGAAAGTTCAAAAATAGAAAAGTATATCATTTAATTTTTTATCGAAAAAAAGTATCTTTTATTGAACTACATTTCTATATCTTATAATTACAGAATATTTGAACTAAAACATGCTAATAATATATTAATCTCAGAAGGCTGTATGTCATTATTGGAAGAAATATTGAATAAAGCTATATTGTGTCTAATAAAATGTTTTAAAATGCAAGAAGAATAAAAACGTACGTAAACAAAACCTACAATTTTAATACACAAAAATATCTTACTTTCTATTTTTTAATGAAAATTTATACGTGCACAATTTTTTATACATCATACAAGTTATAATATAAATTTTAAATTTTATATGAACATACTATAAATAATTAGTATTATAGAAAAAAACATATATTAAAAATATTTAAAATATTACTATTTAATTTTAGTGAATAACTTCTTTCCATGGCCTTTAGTTGTTTTTTTTTTATTTGCGTTAGATTTTTCTTCAGCTGAAGAAATTTTTTCGTGAAACGCGTTGAATAACATTTCTGCCTCGATTTTATTTCCAAGCAATTCGCTAAGTTCTTCCTAAAAAGAAAATATTATTTATATGTGCTCTTCTTTATATTATTCGAAAATTCAATAATATCACTTTAAATCATACTTTAGTGAGTTTATTTAAATGATCTAATGATTGTCCTTTACTTAAAATCAAATGTAAATTTTTTGTTGTAACTCCAGGTAATTTTGAAATAAAATCTTGAATTCGAGGATTGTATTTATCTACTATTTCCTTATTTTCTTCAATTCCAATTTGTGCAGCTTTTACTGCATCTGGTTGATCTTTTCCTTGCTATAAATTTATATTTATGGCAAATTAGTAATATGAATGAAATAAATTTACTATTTTAAATATAAATTTTATAAAATATAATTTGATTTTATTACTTTTAATTCTTCGAATAATTGTGCCGTTGCATGCGGCCCAGGTGACCATACAAGTTTCAAACGAGGAAAATGCAAAGTTAAAAGTTGCAGTTTTGAAGTAATAAAACTATTTTGAATATCTTTGCTAGCATAATAATATCCCTATAATTAAGAATTTTATCTGTTAATGAAATGAAAAATACAAATGATTAGTATGTTACAGTATATGAAATATAATATACTATGTTTATACTTGAAAACAAAATGGTTTATTTGGATCAAATTCTATTAGAAGCATTGGTTTGCTATAATGTCTTGTCATAGCAATAGCTTGACTGTATAATCTTCCACTATTTAAGGAACCAATTAAATCAGAAATACTTTTCCTTTCGACGCAAATATCTGGCGACAAAATGTAATCTCCAACCTATAAGTATAATTATAGTACAAATACTGCCTATCTTTAAATCATTTTAGATATTTAAACTTTATACCTGTAACGTTATAGGTTCAACTTTTATGCCTCGTGTATAAAGTATAGCAGGTAGTTCACTTCTAAATTCTCTCATGTCAACTATAACAGTACTAGAAATTTCAGATTTTTTTGATGATCCACCTTTACGTGTACTCGTTTCATCATCTGCATCAGATGTATGTATTGCAAGACTTAAACAATCTTCAGTTTTTCCATCTTGGTCATCAGGAATAACCATTGTCTGAGATAAAAATGTACTAGTTATAATTTATACATATATAAAGGTTCTGAAATACAGTAACATACAGTTTTAGCATTAATTAACTGATGAAATGCTTCTTTTTCTTGTCGTAAAGACGTAAGGTATTCTTGTTCTTCCACTGAACCCTCATAGATTAGGAAATATACTTTTAAATCTATTGATGGATTATTATTTTGATAAACCTATATAGAGAAATACATTTAAATAATAATTGTACTTCAATAGAAAAATTAGAAAAATTATTTAATTTCACACATACTTCAATTTGTCGTACAGCAGAGGTGTCCGCCACATACATAATGATATTGGTTGGCATATGTTCTATTAAAGCGCGTTGCAATGCCATTGGATCGCCACCTTTTTTTAAAGACTGTATCAAAACAACTGGTGTATTTGTATTTATGTTGGTTAAATCCAAATCTGCAATCTAAAAAGATAATTTATATAGAATTTTTTAAATTTCATATATATTATTCTTATATAGTGCAAGAGATCTTACTTGTGAGCAATCTTCAAATAAAGTCTGATGTTTATTACTTTCAGTTGCTGAATCAGATTGACTTTCTATGACTTTTTGAGATAATGTTAGTACATAAGCATCCTGTTCTTCATTTGTATTCCGTTCCGTATTTTCTGTAGATATGGATTCTTCCTCTACATTCTTTTCACTGTTGCGATAAATTAAATATTATAAGAATCTTTAAATAAAAATTTTTACTTTTTTATTACGTACATTGGTTCTTCGATTTTTTTATGAGAAAGTTTCTTCAATGCTTCGTAAAGTAAATATTCATTGGCACCCATAGTTAAATAATTTCTTAATTGATAACAAATATTACGATCATGTACTAAAATAAGGATTTTTTCAACATTTTCATCATCCTTTTTTTTACTGTCATTTTGAATTTCAAGTAATATTTCTGTTAAAGCAGTCCATTTTGGAGTAGCTTCAGGTTTTAATTCTATATTGAAATAATATGTCAAATTATAAAAACTATAATGAAAATAATTTTTTTTTATAAAAATTTTATAAAAAAAACTCACCATTTCTTTTGTTATAAACTCTATCTTTTGCATTTTTAAATAAGAAATCTACAGAATCTAACATTAACCAACCACTATTTTTTACAGCATATTCCATAGTACGTAAACGATTTAACATTGCATAAAATGATACAGAATCTTCATACGTTAAACACCTTAAATCGTATTTTTATATTTTAGTAGGAAATAAATAAATTTTATTTGCTTAATTTTTGGAATACTTACGCGAGAAGAGCACGTAACATTTTTACATCAGATATTAATTGTTTTGAAGTAGAACTAAGTTGATGCCAAACAGGATCTAACTGTGACTGTAATTGTTTATGGAATTTTTTGGTTATTGCATTTTCAACAGTTAAATCATCTAAATCCAACTGTATAAAAATAAAAACGAGAAATAAACAAATTTTAGTTTTTGTATAAATAGTAGTTTAAATTTTATAGTTATTTTATTTTATAGTATACTTTTGATTTTATAGTATTATACTTACGTATTTATTAAGTCTTTTTAATTCTTTTATAATATAATTCATTACATCAAGTAGAGAAGTTTGAATGTTTAACATTTTTGGTGTAATTTTTATGTGTAGTTCAATAACATCGGCCTAAACAAAATTGTTTAATATATAATATGTAAAATTTTTTATATTAAAATTTATAGTATATCACAATGTTGGTATAATATTATTACCTTATGTTGTTCTAAACAATTATTTACAAGCGTATGAAAACGCGGCCATAAATATAAGTTTTTAACAAATAAAGTCTTCATTACTCGTTCTATTTGCATAAATCCAACGGTAAATCCTAATGCTGAATTAGTAAAAGCTTTAATAAAACCAATCTACAAAAATTTGTGAAATTAAGAATAATATTTTGTATATAATAAGAATTTATATCTTTTTCTAATACGTACTTTGTTTTCCTGTCTGTATAAACGAAGAGCGAATGCTTCTTGATATGATTTTAAGATATTATGTGCTCTGTATACAAGAATTCCAGTAATTAAATTCAATGGAACTCTTTTTTTTATGAAATCTACTATAAGAATTCGTCCCGACATAAATAACACACCACCTTCCAAATATATTCCTTCCCTATAATTTAAAAAAAGTAACGAAAATATGAAACAAAATAAATTTAATTCAAAGAGAAGTTATTGCGATATAAACCTTTTATCAGAATTATAATCGGAAGATATAACCCGAGGTAATTGTTGAAGTCCTTGACTTTTTAAAAAATCAATAAAATATTCTTCATCGTGGTTTGTAGTTCCTAGAACTAGAACTAAATTTCCAGGATCTGTGTAAACTTTTAATATATTTGCAAATACAGTTTCTATACCAAGACCCCTAAAAAATCATAATACATATCTTATTATCTATATATATTATCTCTTTATATATAAGAGTGAGAAACAAAATAAGAGAAATGTATTTTATATAATACATAAGTTATACAATTACTTTGCAGTAATAACCAATCCATCTTCATGGAGTATTTCCACAAACATTTGATTCTCATAATCCAACATGATTAATTTAAAAATTTAAGGCTCTAAAATGTAATTTACATTAAAATAATACATGAAACAAAAAATCTAACAGATACCATGTGATAGATGTTGAGATTGATGGCTTTTGTTTCTGAAATAGTAATATTAAAATTATATGAATTATATATTCATATATTATATATTCTAAACATTTCTGCATTTTAATATATACTTCATTATGAATATCTGAATTTCTTTTATATATGTTTCCTGTATCTGTTGTTTGATATACTAACAGAATGTATTTGCTATTCTCATGCGACGGATGTCCATAAACTCCTATACTAACTGGTCTTTTAAAGCTGAAAAGAGATATATGTATATATACATTTTATTTACTTATTTATGCAAAATTATATATACCTATCAGGAATAAGAATAATATCTTCTCCACACGTAGCAGATTGAAGACAATATTGATCTGGCTCATAAGTTGGTTTTGTCGTTGTTTGTGAAGCATATAAATCTGTGTCCCCAACTCTATGAAATATGGATAATATAACACTTATATTATATATAAACAATATATATAAATTAATAATTAATAATTATTAATTTTACTTTATTAATCATAATTTACTTACTCAGATATTAGTACTATTTTAATAAAACCATCATAAGCTAAACTATAGTACTTATATGAACTTCCTGCAATTTCATCAGTTATATAATGTAATAATTTATCTTTGAATGCTAACACACAGAATATCTGCTAAAATAAAATATTATTATGACTATTTTAAAGTAATTTTAAAGTAATCTAAGAATTCCAAGTTATACAAGTTCTACAGTAAAGGTTATCTTTACCAAAACAAAAAAAATGAATATATTCCTCATAGTATAATAAATTTTAACATGATCAACATACAACAACCATAGATTTCATTGTTGTAATCTTCAAAATTTTTTCTAAAAAAACATTATCCAATTAATTTTTTTTCTAAGTAATTCTTACGTAAAGTTAAAAGACAATATTAATTAATGAAATATCATATTACTATAGATAGTAGATTTTATGAATATCTAATTAATAAATTATTCGCATTAAAAAATTATGTGCTTAAAATAAAATAGTTTGCATCATTTTTTTTGTAATACACATTAACATTCGAAAAAGACATTTGAGGTTAACATGTTTAAAAGTGATACTTCGTTGTATATATTAATATTTTTTTTTTGTAGAAATAACATTATATGTATTTTTCAAAGTAAATTAATGTTGTAATCGTGACAATTATAAAAAAATTGTTAATATTTTTAATTAATACGATTTATTTTATACATAATATATTTTGATTCAAATTTCATAAAAATGTAATTTAATAAAGTTTGGCAGATGTCGCGCAAAATATATTTATATATACTGTACACATATTGTATAAACATAAGATACAAATTAGTAATAGATGAAATTTTTTAAGTAAATTTCATAGTAAATGTTCTTTGTTATATTTTGATAATGGCCAGTTTATTGATTCAAGTAATAATTAAAAAAACAGATTACAAATTACGCTTAAAACACAGCATAGGATTTAATAAGAAATGTTAAAACATGGTTTCTATAAATTCAATACAAAATTAATACAAAATTATATACGTTCTAACTCGTATTTATTGATTTAATTGTGAAAATTATTCGGATATATTATCGTTCATATAATCTATGACAATATCTAAGCTCATATTAAAACTCTTATTTATAGATCCCCTTGTTGCTCGCACCTAACTCTTCGTAATCAAGTACGATATCCGGTGCATCACCATTAGAAAATGAGGTATAATAATGACTGCTTTGTAGTAGAAATTATCTGTAATAATTAGATGCTGAGGGAAATAATTCGTTTATTTTATGCAGATTAAAGAAAATCTGTACACGCTGACAATGATTAATTATTCCCAGAATTATCGAAAGGCGATCAACAAATGAAACAGATATATGTATAATAGATTCGAGTCCGTTTGCAAGTGGGGCAACTTATACCATATCTTTACGATAAAAATTAAATGTACATTTTTTATTACGCAAATAATGCGTTATCAGAAGGTATTAGAAGGTCGTGATCGTATACACGTTCTTTGCTACCAATGGTAGTCTAGTATTGCATTGGTCCGTCGAATTGCAAAGCGGTTACCTCGATTCTACCAGTGCAATAGGATCGGCCGGTATATACTTTTTCCTATATCGATATAAGCTACCAGACCGGTAACAGTCTCTCTTTCTCGCAGGGTGTAAACAGGACTATGACGAGTCTGCAAGTAGAAGAAAGAGGGGGTGAATGGTAGCGCGGGTGAGAGTGTCGGTTAAGGACTCCTGGGTAGTGATGTGTACTACGCCTTATTAGCGATGGGAACAATACCCTCTTGATCTGTTTGCAATACTTCACAAACGATTTAAGATTGATTATGAATACCGGAAATGATAACACTTTAGGAAGCCTTTATATTTGAATGAGTCATCCCAGGAGGTATTGTCTTATTTCTTTCAAGTTATTTCAGTAATAAAATATGGTTATTTCAGCAATAAAATATGGTAGTTCTATCAACAGACTATGGATATTTATGCAAATTCATAATTTCATGAATATAACTAAAAAAATGAAATTTACTAAATGTTATAAAGACATATTGCAATTTTGATACTTTATACGCTTTTACATATTATGCGTATTTTCAAATTTTCCATAAGCGCGTAAAAATCCGTTGTCTGCTGTTACAAATGCTCGATGTTAATTATGTTGAATGTAATGCGATTGTAATATTGTGCTGAATGTAATGTAACGTAATTGCAACATACTCTTTTTGTATTTAGATTGCTGGAACTACAGTTCATAAAAGACTCGTCTATCGAATGACAGAGAAGTTAAAAACTCTTAACGGGTCGATTCTATCGCTAGTATGCAAGTGTGTACGAGTGAAGAGACTTAGGGGGACGGAACGCGATGAATCGAGCTTAAGGGTCGTAGAGTGGGGGTCGCAGAGGGAAGGGAGAATGGCGGAGGGTCAAAAAATGTATAAGGTGCGCGCGCAGCTGCTTTGTCTCTGTGTCGCGATCTGGTGGGGGGATGGCCGGACCACGAGGGGCCACACGGGTCCGTGAGCGGACCATGGCGGACCAAAGGCGACTGCATCCTTTCAGTCGGCCGCTGAACCCGCGCGCCGTGCGGTTGCTCGTGTGTGTATTGCACTTGACTTCGATTCATCGCGTATCGTTCTTTTTTTACACTACACCGCAGGACTACGCGTGTGAGGTTTTTCTATTCGCCGGCTGTCCATCCATACCTGCGAAGGTAACCAAGACCGAGGGAAACGACAAGGCTACGTTCCAGTGGGACCTCTCCTGGCCAAACCAGGACTACGACATACGCTTACGGATTTTTTTTGGAGTACGTCTTTAGATTGTTTTCGTGCGCGGGCGTAACGCCAACGTGAAGTTCTTCTGCATGGTAAGTAACAAACAGGTGTTTTTTGTCTTAGAAAAATTGTTCGTGTATGCAAGCGTGAATTCTTGATTTCGAAGAATACACGCTATACATCGTCTCTCTTATGTCGAAATTATAAGTGTGCAATTTTTCATCTTCTCGGTGTAAGCCGAATGGATTGACTGTCTCTTATCTTTAGTCCTTTAGTACTTATGTAAATTAATAATGAAATTTCCGCTGACTTTCGATGAATAAGTCAAAGTGATATGTGGAAATGGAATGAAATTCAATGTAAGAGAGAGAAAATGTTTTTATCAAAAACTGTCAAGTGTCGACAAATTTGACGTAACAAACGCAGTACTACAGCTTATTATTCTAAGAGTTAAAGAATCTTATCATCTGTCGAATGGCACATTCATGATTGACATAAGAGGGACGCTATTATTTTTGCTCCGTGGTTTCTTTCTTGCCGTTTCGCGAAAGGATGTTTCGTTTCACTTCGACAATCCGATTCAGCTAAGATGCTGCTAACGAACTCGTTTCAAAGAAAGGGGACGAACATTGGGTAAGGTTTTCACACGTGTATGCGAGCGTAGCTTTGAAATACGGCAAACGTGACGCAATAAAGAGGAAGAAAGATGAACGCGAGATAGGTTAGGATTTCAATTTTCCAAAACATTTTGCCGCTCTCGTCGTGAAACCGCCACATGCGTTTCCGGTTTCGTGAATTTGTCGTAAGAATGCGACACATGACAAAAACCAACGATTGCCGTGTAACAACATTTTCTTCGTTTCATTTCCTACTCTATTTATAAATACAAATGAAAATAGATCGGTTTCATACAATTTGAAAATAACGAATATAAATGTTATATTGATGCATATGAGATATCATTCTTTCCAATAATTTCAAATTCAAACGTATCGTATAATCAAAACAACCGTCATATTAATTCTGATTTTAATTACTTTCGTTGTGTAAAACTTATAAGAATAATTATTAACTTTAGAAATTAACTGAAAGAATATATATTGCTTTGACCTTCATCCATTGGTAAATTTATATTTCCAATAAATTTTTAAATATAGAGATATTAGCCCGCGTAATTCGAACTTATTGAAGATATACGAACTCCACAAGAATGTCAAATAGGATAAAATTCTGTGTTCATTTGTTAAAGAACGAAGTAAAAGAGAAAAATTATATTGCAACCACAATTGGTGAGACGAAGTGTGAGTTAAACGATATTACAAAAAGGAGACGCCCGTTTGAAACTAACATAGGACGTGTACTTAATGATAAGGGGCCTGTTTTTGTCATTCTTACGTTTATGCATGTGCGCTTTAATGTACGCACCACCAAAGTGAATATTGTCGTACGTATATATTTGAGAGATGGGTGTACAATTGGTATGCCTATGTGTGCGTATAACGTTGGTAATGCTTTCAGCAACATGAGAGTACGAAATTGTACGTAATTACACCATGTAATCGTAAGGTACTTGGTGGTGTGGTATTCGTGGTGCGTTCTGAATGCAACTTGTATCTGCTACTGTTTCTTCATTCCCTTACTCATATTACTTTTTGTAGCCGGCAAAAATTGCGAAGGAAAGAAGGAACTATCTTTTGTGTTGAAGGATACAAAGTGGAGATATAATTTGAAACTGAATTACATTACAAATTGATGTAATTTCAACCACCAGCCTGTAATATTGTTATATTCCGTGTTGCGAATTGAATGGAATATTTTGCATTTCGTCCTGGGTCCCTTTTGCATAATAATTTATTAATTCAGAATACAAGTGAACGGAGAGAGACAAAATTTCATTAATAATATCAACATAATTGCGAACATAACATTGCCTGAATAGTAAAAAATTAATTCTTCTTTTCATGTTAACTTTTTTCTACTGTTGGAAAATTTACAGAAAAGTTTTTAACTTACAAACACTCTTATTTTGAGATTAGTAAAAAGTTTTCCTCGCATAATTGCTCGTGTTCCGTCGAGAGAGGAAATGATGGTTACGGCGGGTTTTCAGGAAGCAATTCTCGTTAGTAGGGAATTGAAAATGACTATATTCGATTACGTTCATCTCGAGCGCCGTTCCATACCGGCATCTTCTGCTAATTTCGTAGCGTAATCAAGTGGACAGAAAACGTTTCAATAAATCTGCTCGTACAGAACGAGTGGCGTGTACCGTGACAGACACAATTGTTGTATACGTTGGACGTGAGAAACGAGTTTTATCGCCGTGTGATTGTTTTCTTTTTCAACAGGACGCGGTCGTTCGAAATTCGAAAGTCCGAGGCGTAGCAAATAATTGAAAAAAAAAAAGAAGGAAAAAGAAGATCGAAGAGGAAGAATTGATAAACAGAGTTTTAACTTTTTAACTGTTCAAAAATGACGTTTGTAACGAGATGATTGCGTAAACCTTTTAAATTTTCTCTTGCAAGTCATTATATAAAAAAATGACGAGGCCTTTATTATTT